ACAGCGTGATTCTTCCATTCCGGATACTTGGTAGCCACAATGATTCGAGCAGATCGTGCCTTGCTCGGATCATAAGTGATGTTACCGCCCTTGCTTCTCTTCTTGGCCGCACTGGTTTCTGTAGAGCGGAGGCGAGAAAGCACGTCCCGTATATAGGCAAGTTTCGCGAGAACTCCACTAGACTCAAACGGCGCCTTGACTTCGGGCCATAGTGCATTCTGTACCGACGTGGATTCGTCCAGAATCTCCCTCCAAATGTACTCGGCGTAATGAGGGATAAATGGCTGAGCAAGTAGAGCGCTGGTCCGTATAAAGTAGAACACAAGGTCGACGTGCATCCCTTGGCCTCCGTGTTCTGTCAGAGTAATATCGCGGTACCAGTCCCTGGCGCTCTGATATTCGTAGTATCCGTACTTCAAGCAGTCCTTGAAGAATGTACTACCCGGACGTTCAAGTAAGTTGCCCATATGTAGCTGAAGAAGCTGCACTTACGCAATGAAAGCCTGCCTTGTTTTTCGGTTCAAGTCTTCCATCTCCGTCATGAACGCCTGGTCATGTGTGTTCCACGTTCCAGAACGAAGCTTACCCTCGCTTCTTGCAACTTTCATATCCTGCGAGCAACTACATTAGCCTGCATTGAGAAGGGAACATCTTCTGAAGGTGAACTTACAGTCGCCCACCTGATCGCCGTATACAATCTTAGGACACAGGCGTTGGCGGTTGCTTCGTCAAAGCTACATGAGGTTATTATATTTCAGCGTCAGGTATGTCAGAATTTGACTTTGCCGTTCAATGTTCACTTACTTGGCGTCGGTCATATCGTCACCTGCATCGGCTAATACCAATCGCGTTGCATCAGCGCCAAACTTCTCCAACGCTTCCTGCAACGTCAGAAAATTGCCGGTACTTTTGGACATTTTCTGGCCTCCCAGCAAGAGATGTCCATTAGCACGCATTGCTCTCGGCCAATACTCTTCTTCGAATAACGCAGCGTGATTGTAGACACAAAACGCTAGGTGGTTGGAAATTAAATCCTTTCCCGATGAACGAATATCCATGGGATACCAGTATCGGAAATTTGATCTTAGTTTGGCCGCCTTGTCCCTGTCAATGGACTGGCCAGCAGGGAAAGCGCCATCTTGAAGAACGTAGCTCCATACTTCATCGGTCATCTGATCGGCAGTGATTTTCAATGGTCCCACTTGGTTTCCATAGATACTCCCCCCTTGTAGCAGATGAGCAACTGTATAGTATGCCATATAGATGGTAGAGTCGCTGAGCGACTCAACGACCAATTGTGGATCCCAAGGGAGTTTCGAACCGAGGCAGTAGCTTCGAGCGAACGACCATTGGTTCAGCCAATCTAATACGGCCTCGAAAGAATGCTGAAGTTGAGGAATGAACGTGTTCATCCTCGCGACGAGGCTTAATAGGAGGCTGTCTAAAGTCAGGCAACATCACTAGAGCGTAATCGCAGATACAGACTAACAGCTTTGCCTTTGCTTTCCACTCCCCATTGCCGTAATCCAGGTACCACTGATCACATAGTGCGACTACACACTCGTCACCGCTGCGGGATAATACCTTTTGTTCGGGTTCAGCGTAAGGGAACGCCATTCCGGCGTTTATCAATTGCTGATTGCATAATGGAATGGACGATTTCACAGGAAGACCTGCACAATCGCCGACCAGCATGGTTCCACTAGTTCTTTCTTCTTTTGTGGCGGAGGCTTCCAATTCGGCTAGCTCATATCTGTCGTTTACGGAATCCATGTTCAAAGCGTTCACAAGAGCGACGGCTGTCAAGTTTCCATAAGCATCTGTGTTGATGAGGGGTATGGGGTCATGCGATATCCATTCAGGATTGACACTATAATGTCCGGGCTTCCGGCGCAACCCTTCCAAAGCAGCGTAGTCATGGGGAGAGCTCGATGGTACACAGCAAGCTATGCCAGTACCTTGAGTGTTAGACATGCCTGCCAAGGGAACGACATAGAGCTGTGATAGGTGACTAAAAGGTGCACTGATGATCGAACCGATGAGCTCCTTCCCCCCAATATCGGCCAACTTGCATAATTCACCTTGACGCCGAAAGAGGTTCTGATATGCCATGTTCCGTGCGGCATGCTCCCCGAGAATAAAGCAATCGCTTGACGATACCTGATAGATACCGTAATCGATAGCAGCTCCTATGAAGCAGTTTGTCTGACCATAGACTAGTTCTGGTCTGGAGGTTGTTGCGATCAAGAAGACTTGCTTGTTAGAGACTGCTTTACGGACATTTGCATGCAGTGCCTGAGGCCATTGGAGCAACTTCAGCTTTATGGCAGTGCGTAAGACGGGTACGACGCCTTCACCGCATGCTCGGTCATGGTCCATACAAGGCTGATCATCCTGCGGAGAAAACACAGTGTACCTTTTACCAAACTTGACATGCCCTCGAGCTTTCAGCTGGTTCATTTGCCAGCGAATAAAAGAATCGTAGTATGGGTTTAATTCCGCTGGGATGAGCAGAGTAGAGATTAAGTAAACCCTGACTTAAACCCGACAGTTTTCGGAACAACGCTTACTGGTTACAAACGATCTTCTCCAGTCAATGCGATTGCCCATAGCCGTCAAGTCCTGTTGGGCAATCGGAGGGAAGTATCTCATCCAATGCACCGGATCGGCGAATTTCTTGATTTCGGCTCAAGGGATCCCCGACAGCTCCAAGATCTGAAACTGGTACCTCAAGCCAGTAGACTTTGCGGTGACCTTACCTTTCTTACTTTTGGCGCGATCTGCTGGTGCATTTTGGCCCCTTGTAACTTCAAGCTCCCGAGAACTAGCCGAAACTGCAGGTGAGTACCCGCTGAAGTCCTCGCCAAAGGAAGCCATTTCGCGGATCAACTTATCTGCAGATGCCTGAGACGCCCAGTCAAATGTATCACAGTATACGTCAGCACGGCCAGCGCGAAGTTGTATTACCTACTTACCTTGATCGCCATTCCGGTACAGTGAAATCCCAAGGGAAAGAGTGTCCTTTTGCCCAACATCCGCTCAAATCCGCAAGCAAACTCGATCTTGGAGAGGGAGAAGGCATGGCCAAGATGCAAGGTGCCGTTCATATAAGGGTAAGGAAATGTTCCGAACCATTTAGGTGGCTGCTCTAGAGAATCTGGGAGGCGGGACTCTGGTGTTGAGCCGATATCAACAAGGGGTTGACGATTCTCTGGAAGATTCGCTTCGAAGACTCGCTCGTTTTTCCAGAACTCTTGACAGCGTTTTTCGAGCGCCCTAAGACTGTCACGCTTGTGAGACTGATAGTTCTCACTCTATTAAAGAAGCAAGATAGTCAGCTTCATGCGAAAACGTCTCATATTATTTTGTAGTAACGACTGTCATGAACTATCCTGCCTCTCATTCGTGAATCACGCGTGATACAAACGGCGTTTTAGCCAAGACTCACCATCTTCGTATTAGGGCTTATATCCTCGGTGAGCTGTTCCCCGCTTTTAGAAACGACCATCTTTGGTTGGTCCTCGAGCAACTGGAGTGAAAGAACCCAGATGTTGTTGAGCCCAATATAATACCGACGGTAGATATATACTAACTGGGAGCTGTCGTGGGTTGTGCCAGCAACGTCTTCAGAAATTGCCTCCAGGAGGCAGCAGAGAAAGGTAACGTGCAGGTATTCTCAACAAAGGAGCCGGAAATTACATTTAGCGAAACATAGGGGAGCTATAGTCCCTTTGTGTTCGAACACAGGTGCAGGCGGCATTTGTTGCTAGGAGCCAGTCAAGGAAGAGTCAATCCATAAAGCTTTGAAGGGTATGTGGTGACGCACCGGCTACGCTAACCACAGACAGCTGATCGAAAACACGGCTCTACCATACCGCATGTCACACTGACGTAGACGGGCCTATACTTTGAAAGGATGTACCATGTAAAGAACTGGGAATATAGTCGATAGTAACATGATATAGTTACCATTACGTATCTCTCCTCTGATATATTCCTACATCTACGACTTAGTACAGACTGTCGTAGGTGCAGGGACTGTAGTATGTGCAACATTGTAAGAGACCTACGTCTCGTTGTACTAGATAGGGAAAATAATGCGGTTAATTATAAGCCTTTGAGTGTAGGACTTGCTTTTTAGTGGGTCTAGTCAGAAGAGATTAGGCTTCTGCGACTCAGTATCGTATATGGTAGGACTAATGAATATATACAATGGTCAGACCACTATAACTAGCGAGCCTAAATGAATTACTTAGTCTAAGTTTCTTCAATCAAGGAGCTAATATACATTGTGACGAAATCTATATCAACGGGATAGTTACCTATGTATACACACGCATCGCCACCCCATTAGGTGGCAACTTCTCCTAAGACGCCTTTAGGGGAATCATCCCAGCAGCGCGACATTTGGACACATTTGTGCCTACTTTGGCACGTCTATGCATCGCTTTGTAATCCAACGGTAAACTCACATATTCCCAACTTGGCACAATTCTGCGCAGTTGTGCACATCTGTGTACAATGTTTCCGTCGAGCGCCAATTGGCATTCCATTCCGAAGCATACCAATAGATAGTGTTGCAACTCGAGCGCCAGGTCAGTAACAGGCGAAGTAACTTGTCTTTTTGGTCTGTTACTTATCTGACTTCATTCCCACAGATGTTTTAATAAAAACTGAGGTTCAAATCCAGCAACACCATATTAGGAGACTATATGAATACCGATTACTAACAATACTGTACGACTGTGAGGCTGTAAAAGCAGCTGTACAATCTGTAACAACTGCAACAAGTGCAGCAACTTTCCCTTGAGAGACGTGTTCATAAGATATTATATAACTATAGGAGATAAGGTATCAGTATCGCATATGAGTCAGACTCTCACCAGCGGCATACTTGTCCAGCGCCAAAATATAACATAGCCTGCGCTGGTCGTCTGGAAAATGGTCCCCCACCGAGCTATTGAGTGATTTTTACAAATTGACTTTTGGACAACAGGTTCTGCTGATTGATGTAGTGGTTAGCATATCAGATTCTGATCCGATTAGAACGTTCAGCCTTCTGGGTACCGGGGTTCGAATCCCCGATCGGCATGTTCAGTTTTTTTTTCGCCCTTACAAGAGTTTGGAGTATTTTTGACAAGGCATTCTGGCTGCAGCAGGGTTCGAATTCAAGACAGTGGCGTCTTGAGGCTCTCGTTTCAAATGCGGAAATTGACGCCTTCACATTGCCACTTTTTATCTCTTAATTTACTGGATGGATCCCAAATGTGTAATTCCAAGGTTAGGTACAAGAGTCATAATTCATACCAGGTGGCTAGAAAGCAATGGTAATCAGAGATATGATGTTTCATCAAACACATTTGCATAGCATCGCCGGGATGTTCAAAAAGACAAGCTGCGCACTGGCACTTGCCCAAACTCAGTTAGATAGCAAAAGGGAGTTGACAAATTAGTTTTGGTTCACCTTCAAAAAGAAATGCTGCAAATGCCGATCGGGGATTCGAACCCCGGTACCCAGAAGGCTGAATGTGAAACTCAGAATCTGATATGCTAACCACTACATCAATCAGCAGCTCGATGTTCAAGTTCCGTCCCTTGTTCCCACAACATGAGACCGGTCGTGGACTTTGTGCAGCGTGCTCTGCTACCGTATGAACAACCCGTTCGAGAGGGCGATCATTCCACTATGGGGAGCTGCCCGAAATACTGCGACGTTCTTGCGTTGCCGAACGTAAGGATACCCGGCTAGCACCCCCTCTTATGGTTGCTGTGTTACAGACACCAGCCAAGGAGCTGGGATTAATTACAGACTAGTAGTCTAGAAACAAGAAACAAATTCAGGGAACACTCGATCGGCGTGTTCAGATCCAAGACAGAGCGAGATGGCGTTTGATCCGTCCACTTGTCAAAGTTTCTCGACGGCTTGTTTATAGATCGCTGCAAGTGTTTTCTTGAATGTGGTTCAGCTATCTGACTATTTCTCATATATATACGACAAGTGAAAATGCCGTCCAAACAGTACCCCCTCTTTTACGACTTTGCGACGTTCTCAATTTGACTTGATCCCGCCCGAGTAGTAGCTCAGCATAACATGCCCGCATACATTGCCGTCTTACTCTCTTTGTTACCAAGGCACGGTGCACTCCTGCGCGTCGCAACTTACGAGGACAACATAATCTCTCGCTGCATGCAAGAGTTTGTTGCTGACCAGCAACCGTATTCAACAACTTCGTACACTCTATACAACACAGTCGCAAATGGGGAGCTGCTTCGCCGAAGCTTCGAGAATCGGATGGGTCTGTCGAGAACGCATAAGGTGCTAACGCTGCAATATCCTCTGAGCAAGCAAGTGCGATTTGTACTTCTAGTGCGAGCCAGATGTCTTCCTCGAGGCCCCCAACAGCAACAGCAGGCGTCCTTGACACGAGCATTGACAAAGCCGGCCTCGGGTGGACTTCGAAAACGAGAACGAACTAGAGCGAATTCGTACTTGATTCGTCCTCTACCATGGCTAAGAGGGATGAGTATGCAGAATCCCTGTCAAAACGGTGAACTGAAAGCGTTATAGGATGATAAGTAACGATGCCCAAAGCCGGTCGCGCTGAAGGACCTAAGCCAGTCTTCCAACCGACAGGACATACGACTGGAACTGGTACATCGTGTCGGAAACGCCACTAGATCGGCTTGACCTTGTACCACTTGCATGGGGAACCGGGAGCGTCGATGGCTTTGCGAGTGATTCGGCCAACTTTGACACACTGGGAGTTAGCTACTTGTTGAGTTTCAATGAACTCGAGATGTAGGTGTTCGTAACATGACGGTCAGAGTTGCCCCTGATGTATTACCCACTGTATTACTTTACAGTAATCGATGGACATCGGCGGGTCGTCGAACAGTCCATTCGATGCAGCAACCTACCATCAAAAGATATCCAATTCTACATTGGCAAGTAAATATAGGGTTGGCACACCTGCCGTGGCAATAGGAAGTAGATGGTGGTTAGAAGTAAGATAGTTAACAAGCGATCTCAAGAGGATGGTGAGGAGCTTGAGCCGTTGCAGCAATGGGTAGCAGCATGTGAGGGTGCCTGTTCTTATCGCGGGGTTTGCGCCGGAACTCTCGAAAAGCAGCGACCCACCATCATTGTCGTATATTTTAAACCTCTGCATTTCTATAGAACCAATGCCGACGACATGATTCCCTACATCGCAAGTATACAGAGATTGATACGTGGATGACGGTGCTAACTCGTCACAGGAGAACTTTCAACTTCGTTCCAAGAACCAGCGTGGGTCACCGAGGTAGGTCTTAGTGATGAAGCACTTACTAATTCAGATGTACTACTAACCTCTTTCCCTATAGCCTGGCTGTTTGGGTAGGTCGATAGTGAACTCGTCTATGGAATGATCAGGATTGATACGTTCCGACCAATACAGACTTCGGAACCAATCCCGCACACATCTGTACGCTCGAGGAAACCATGGAATTCATCCGCAAGATTATAGCGTACATGTACAATGAGCCACAAATGGAACGCTGTGCAGCGCTCGGCGCTTTCACAAGTTGGGCAGCATCGAGCAACACGAGTGGGTTGATGGATGCCGATGGGCATATTAATACGCTGGGAAAACTACATGCGACTACGACTTGGATCGTGATGACGGGCGTAGTGAAAAGGAAAGAAATGGTGAGTTATGTCCCAATTCTGATGACCCGAGGCGCCATGGGGATGGGCGACACAACGGTCATACATATGGAGTCGATTATGAATGGCAAGCCAAACAAAGAGATAGCTGTTCATAGAGGAAACGGCACATCAAGCCTTCAACTCTTGCGTCAAAGGTCACTGCTTGATAGTCCACAGGACCGGACTCGGTATCAGTGCGCGAAAGACCATCACGCGCTGCATGTCAAGCGCCACGAAGCACGAAGTCCGTCTATTGTCGTTAACTATGCATTACAACCAAGCCCAAGCTGACCACCTACGCCTTCCCGTCACTCTGCCGCAGCCTCCCTATCACACCGTTCCGCCAATAGCTGCCTGATCAACGTACTACTCATCTTCCCCGCCTTTAGCCGCTCTTGATCTGTCTCTCCGACCAATCCATGTCTGCCCTCGTCCCGCCGCTTCTCCTCCTCGTAGGACCCTTCAACCGTAGTGAGCGAGTCGATTGAGGAGGAAATGACGTCGATCACGAACACGTCGAGCGGTGGAAAGTTCCGTTCTTTGCGGATCTTGGCGACTATAGTGGGTGAGAACGTTGAGTACTCTCCATTCGAGGAAAAGTGGTGGTCTCACAACCAAGACTTACTAGCGTCCCCTCCGGCTACACTCTCCCGACTTACAACCAACGCATGTACATCGGCGCGTTTCCCCGTCGGCCCCGCAACTTCCCGCAACTCGACGATCTCGTATTCCAGTCCCTGATCAAGAGATTCCAAGAAGGCACGGGTTCGAGCTATACGCGTGGACAACGGCTCGAGTTGTTCCGGATGCACTTTGGAGACAAGGAGATCGTCGGCTGCGAGGTAGGAGTGTGTAAGCGGATGAAGAGTTGCGACGAACGCAATGCCCACGTACCGGAAACGCCAACGATCAGTCTCTGCGCAGTGATCCACACTGCCATTGAAAGGAGGATTTTATGTCCAGCATGAAGATGATCAAATGTACCTCCGAGCGCCACCACGGGGTATCTTCCGCCGCGTTCGAGTGGGGCAGAGGGAGTGTGTGGAACCGTCGGTGGATGCGGCGCGGGGATAATCGGTCGGCCCGGTGACCGGAGTGCAGGAAGCGTCGTGAGTGTGTGTGCAGGAGGCGGAGTAGAAAATATGTCCAGCGTTGAAGGGTCTGTAATGGATTGATATTAGCTTTGCGCAGTGAATGTCTTATGGCAGACATGTAAGCGACGTTATCCTTCTGCGTCCTCCGTCTCGTCCTCTCGCTTGCAGCATCACGACATTCTCTTGCTCCAAGCTTGTCACCATTCGAGCCAAGTCGCTCCTCGTCGCAGTATTTGAGGCAGCGTTACCTCGATCATGCGTGCGCATAAGCCCATGACCAAACACCCACCACGCCATGCTTGTCCAGAGGCGCCTTTTCTGAACTTGCAGAAAGGGAAGGCCCTGACCGTCCTCGTTCTCCGAAGCCCTTGGCCCCCCCAGGACAGCGGTAAATGCAGCCCAAAAATAACCCCCCGAACATCGTCCGAGGCATTGAAAGCCTCTCGCCATATGTGGCAGAACACGACAGATGAACAAGAGATCCAGCTTGCTACAATGGACCTGCGGAGGAATCATGCCATTGAATCGCGCCTTGTTCCGACGGCCCTGACATGCACGTTTCTAGCGGAGGTTGCCCTGAGAGACGTCACGAGTCTCGCACGGGAAAAGGAACAAGCGCACAGATTCTTCGGACGTCTATGGCCCTCGGCGGGGTCAAAGCCCAGTGACTAATTGTCAGCCTTCCTACGATAGCCTTGAGTCCGATGTGTTATACCTCGCCTCGAAGACGACTGTCATGTGGTGGCCTCGAGACGTCATGAGACCGGTCATCCCTCCGTCTCCCATGAAGTTCTCGAGACAGAAGACGCTGGATCTCGACCGCGACGGAATCGAAATCCCTCCCTAGCCAGTGGCATTATCGCGCCTGCGCGCTCGGTGAAGCCAACGAGCCTCGGTCGTCTTGCGACGACCTTGAAGTCCTTCAGACTCGTAGCCTGCGGCGCGGAAAAGCCACTGAATGTTGGGCAGCCTACGTTGGGCTCATTGCCTGCAACTCTGAATCTCGCTTCGCTCGCAACTGTTTCATTCACTCGACTGAGTCCCATCCGCCCTAGGGCAGTCTCAGAATGTCCTTCGAACTTGTTGCCTGCGGTACAGAAACTAATTCTCGATTCGCTTGAAGGAGACTCGCTCCGCTCTGACTGAACCTCGTAGCGCTGAAAGGATGTTCGGCGGCTCAGCCGCGCTCAGACTCACCAGCCACTACTCTATCCCACTCCCCCTTAACCCATCCCCTCCCCCTCGGCGCCGCCCACCCCTCGACTCTCACATCCACCTGCATCAACTGCCTTCCAACCCTTCCGGCCTCTT